CAAATCACCATCTGAAACATTTTAGACACACATCTAATACTTTAAAGTCAAACTGAACATAATTAAAGTTGTTGGAGATCAAATGAACCAAAACCAATTAGCCCTTACTCTCTAATTGGGTGCATTGGTGACTGGTATACAAACTTGTGGTGCAGGCATGACGTGTTGTGATGGTTAGTGGAGGCAGTGGATTGCTCCATTCATCTCCATCACGGCGTGACCTCATCTTCACAACCTCACCCTAAAATCCACCCCACTCCACAATCTTCTCATCAGTGCATTCAAATTTTTCATCCGGACTCGCCATGTAGACCTTCTCTTCACTTCCAAAACCCATCTGAACTTCTCCAACTTGGAACTCCACATTGAGGCCTACATAAGCAAGAGAAAAACAACCCATATCGAGAAACGAACAAAAAAGGCCTCTCCGAACCATCCGGTTCAAGCCTAAATCCCTCGGAATGCCCCTTGTCTCCCACTTTAGGCCCCGAATGTTTTGGCTTCTGGTCGGCAATCGTGTCATCATACTTTCATCGTCTTCCTTCTCTATGGGATTCTACCCGGTTCTCTATATTTACCCCATCGTCCACAAACACGAATAGGGTTTACTCGCCACACATTTCACAAGCTATGTTGAATATGGTTGTCGTATGCATTAGCCATTGCCATGACAGTGTTGTATAGGTTTATGTTTGGAGCCAAGAAACAGATAGCCATGAAAGCAACAAAACAGGTTCAAGATATGGAAGGTGAAAAGCTAACCTAGGTTTTAGTAGATGATAGGGAGTTGGAAAGCCTACCTCACCAGTCTATTTGGGCAAACCTAACAATGTGCATTATGGTGAGAGGCCTGACCTTAAAAGAGTAAGTAAGCTTTCTCTAGAGCAATGATAAATAAAATTACAATTTATTTATGGTTCTACGACAGTCAATTTTTAAATTTATACGGTTAACATTTACTTTCATATAGAATTATAAGATATTTTTAGAGAAAACTACACCATAGTGTCCAATCAAAATTTAATTTACAAATAAATTAATAAATATTAATAATATTAATTCAATTAACAATAAAAAACTTTTGACATAAATTTTGTAATAATTTTTCTTTCTCTCCTTACTAACCCAGTGATTTCCCCACTATTTTTATGGTTCCTTGGAATTATTCTCTCAGAGTGCCGCAGTCCAAAACTAATCAAACTAGTAGTTTAAGGGATGGGCTTGTCCCCTCATCCACGATATAGACTGATAGTATTGTCCATCCGTGAGGCCCATGAAGAGTTTTGTTTGATGTGATTTAGTTTTGTTTGATTTATTGTGTATTCTTCATAAAGGAAAAAAATCAGATGGATCTTGTTAATCATCCCATATTATTTTCATCATGTTTAAAAAAAATGACGGTATATTTTAAAATTATATACTCCTCAATTTTTTTTAAAGTGAACAAAAATTATTAAAATCATTGAATATGATTTTGAATCAATTTATTTTTTTATGGATAAATATACCTAAATACATCTTTAAAATAAGATAGATTAGATTCATCAAAGGGGGAATCATAGTGGGTCCCATGACACAACAACACTGTTGAGTCTAAAATTTGGATAAAGATAATCTAGTTTAATTATGTATATCCAAGCGAGAAAGTTTCGAACCCTAAATTTCGAATATTTATTTGCTTCCGCAGCTATTATAGTAGCATATTCTATATTTGAGCCAATCTCAGGCCTCAATTTTGAATTCACTCCATTATTTAGCTCAGTTCAATTCATTTTGTAATCTTACCAAATTAACATGAGGGGGGTATTGGCAGGGAATTTATGTTAGAGCGCAAGGAGTCAAGTGTTGGGTTCTGTTTGTGGGCCTAAGAATATGAGACATGAGTGCAAGCCATTGTTCATCTGGGTTGGCACCAACTTGATTTTGAGTCATTAGTTTAGCTGGTGATGTCGATTCACACATCCATTACAAAGATGAATGGGGCTTAGGAAAGTGAATCCTTCAAAATGATATAAAGTTACTGTATTGTTGAGAGATCTATCTTATTAAAGTTCATAAAAATGATTTTTACATTCCAATTATTTGTTCTCCTTTTATATTATTATGTTGCATATAGTTGTTCAGAACTTGTAATAGTCATTATTATATTGGAGTTTTGGGTTACAGCTCGTATATAAAATAGATTTTATTAAGTTTTTTATTGGTATTTTGTTGTATAATTTTTTTTTTTTGGAAGAATAGATTTTACTTTATATAAAACTAATTATAGGGGATTAGAGTTCCCAACATTATACATATATTACTGAGAAATTAATTTCGTAATGCTTTAATTCCTATAATTATTCCTTCTAATTGAAAAAAAATAAAAAATCCTTAAATAAACTGAAAATAAGTATTTGACAGTAAATACAAACTTATGAAATGCCTCGAGTAATTATTCCTGCCCATTGGGTGGTTTGTCTCCGGATTATTAAAAATAGTGGGGATCCACTATTTATATGGGGGAAATCGAGTGATTGGATGATTTATATATGTTATATTTTGTATATTGATTATTTTTATTTTACTAAACTCGACAGCTCATCAATTTATGACCTTGCAGCTTTTTCTATCTCTAGCAGTTTCGCTGAACTTTCTTCAACGAGTCCTATTTTCTTCCCCACCTTCAACCCCATGGCGCTTTTTTAAAGGACTTAGGTAAAGTTTGACAATTCAAAATAACTATCTTTTTATCTTTTTACTATTAAGAATTAAACATTTTTACCGACTAAAAATTGGTCGCTTAAAAGTCCCATTTTTGGTCGGTAAAAAGTTATCCGCAACTTAATTTTTTTGGTCGGCTACCTTTGGTCGCCAATTGAGAGTCAGGGCAAAAAGTATTCACGACAAAAATTTTGGTGGTCGGAAAAATATCATTTTCGGTTTTTAGCGACTAAATGAATTAGTCGCGGTAATGATATATTTAGCGACCAAAAAATTAGTCGGCAAATCTAACTTTTCCCGACCAACCAAAATTTTTGTCGTGAATTACTTTTGCCGACTCTCAATTGGCGACCAAAGTAGCGACCAAAAAAATTAGTTGCGGATAACTTTTACCGACCAAAAATGGACTTTTAGCGACCAATTTTTTAGTCGGTAAAAATGTTAATTCTTATAGTAAAAAGATAAAAAGATAGATTATTTTTGAATTGTCAAACTTTACCTAAGTCTTTAAAAAGCGCCATGGTGTTGAAGGTGGGAGAAGAAATGAGGACTCGTTTGAGAAAGTTCAGCGAAACTGCTAGTGATAGAAAAAGCTGCAAGGTCAATAAATTGATGAGCTTGTCGAGTTTATGTAAAATAAGAAAAATCATATTACAAAGTATAAACATATGATAAAATTATCATCACTCGATTTTTTCCCAAATATATAATGGATCCCACTATTTTAATCAATCCGGAGACAACCACCCAATGGGCAGGGACTAATTACTCGAGGGCATTTCTAAGTTTTGTATTTTACTGTCAAATACTTATTTTCAGTTATTTAAGGATTTTTATTTTTTTTCAATTAGAAGGAAATAATTAAGGAATTAAAGCCAATTAACGAATTAATTTCTCAGTAATATATCTATAATGTTGGGAACTCTAATCCCCTATAATTAGTTTTATAAAGTAAAATCTATTCTTCCAAAAAAAAAAAAAAAATTATACAAAAATACCATAAAAAAACTTTAAATAAAATCTATATTTTATATACGAGGTTGAACCCAAAACTCCAATATAATAATACTATTACAAGTTGCCTGAACAACTATATGCAAAAACATAATATATAAAGGAGAAACAAATATTGAATGTAAAAATCATTTTTTATGAACTTTAATAAAGATAGATCTCAACAATACAGTACACTTTATATCATTTTTGAAGATTCACTTTCTAAGCCCCATTCATCTTTGTAATGGATGTGTGAATCACATCACCAGCTAAAACTAATGGACTCAAAATGCAAGTTGTGTGCCAACCCAGATGAACAAATGGCTGCAACCTCATGTCTCATATTCTTAGGCCCACAAACAAGAACTCCAACACTTGACTCCTTGCGCTCTAACAAAATTCCTGCAATACCCACCTCAGTTAATTTGTAAGATTGCAAATGAATTGAACTGAGCTAAATAATGGAGTGAATTCAAATTGAGGCTTGAGATTGGCTCAAATATAGAATTGCATACTAAATGAGCTCAAGCAAAAAATATTCGAATTTAGGTTCGAACTCGGCTTGGATACATAATTAAACTAGATTATCTTCTATCCAAATTTAGACTCAACAGTGTTGTTTGTGTCTATGGGACCCACTATGATTCCCACTTTGATGATCTAATCTATTTATTTTAAATGTATTTAGGTATATATTATCCATAAAAAAATAAATTGATTCAATAATCATATTCAAATGATTTTATAATATTTGTCTTTAAAAAAATTGAGGAGTATATAATTTTAAAATTATACCGTCATTTTTTTAAAACATGATGAAATAATATGGGTATGATTAACAAATCCATCTGATTTTTTTCCTTTATGAATGATCAACACATATAAATCAACAAAACAAATAAATCACATCAAAACAAAACTCTTCATGGGCCTCACGGAGTGGACAATACTATCCAGTCTATATCGTGGAGAGGGGGACAAGCCCATGCCCTTAAACTACTAGTTTGAATTAGTTATGGACTGGCACTCTGGAGAAGAATAATTCCAGGAACCATAAAAATATGGGGAAATCACTGGTTAGTAAGGAGAGAAAAAAATTATTACAAATTTATGTCAAAGTTTTTATTTTTAATTATTAATATTATTAATATTTATTATTTATTTGTAATTAATTTTGATTGACACTATGGTGTAGTTTTCTCTAAAAATATCTTATAATTCTATCATGAAAGTATAATGTACCGTATAAATTTAAAATTGAACTGTCGTAGACCATAAATAAATTGAATTTTATTTACATGTGCTCTAGAGAAAGCTTTACTTACTCTTTAGGTCAGGCCTTCCACCATAATGCACATTGTTAGGTTTGCCAATAGACTGGTGAGGTAGGCTTTCCAACTCCCTATCATCACTAAACCTAGTTAGCTTTCCACCTTCCATATCTTGAACCTGTTTTGTTGCTTCCATGGCTATCTGTTTCTTGCTCCAAACAAAACCTATACAACCTGTCATGGCAATGGCTATGCATACGAGCAACATATTCAACATAGCTTGTGAAGTGTGCGAGTAAACCCTATTCGTGTTGTGATCGATGGGGTAAATATAGAACCGGGTAAGAATCCCCATGAAGAGAAGGAAGACGATGAAAGATGATGACACGATTGCACCGAGCCAGAGCCAACCATTGGGGCCTAAAGTGGGAGACAAGGGTGCATCCGAGGGATTAGGCTTGAACCGGATGGTTCGGAGAGGCTTTTGTTCGTTCTCCGATATGGGTTGTTTTTCTCTTGTTATGTAGGCCTCAATGTGGAGTTCGAAGTTGAGAAGTTCAGATGGGGTTTTGGAATGTGGAAAGAGAAGGTCTAGCATGGCGAGGTCGGATGAAAATTTGAATGCACTGATGAGAAGAATTTGTGGAGTGGTGGTGGATTTTAGGGTTGAGGTTGTGAAGATGAGGTCACGCGTGATGGAGATGAATGGAGCAATGCCACTGCCTCCACTAACCATCACAAGCATGTCATGCCTGCAACCACAATTTGTATACCAAGTCACCAATGCACGCCATAGAAGTACGGGCTAATTGTTTTGGTTCATTTGAGCTCCAACACTTTAATTATGTTTAGTTTGGACTTTAAAGTATTAGATGTGTGTTAAAATGGTTCAGATGGGTGACTTTGGTAATATTCATTGTCAAAATTAACACTGTGTTTGGATTGAGTGATTTGGAGAGAAAAGAAAAGAAATAGAGAGAAATGTATTTCTCTTCCTTGTTTGGTTATCTTAAGTGGAGAGAAATGGGGAGAAATAGAGAGAAATGGAGAGAAACTCATTTCTCTCATAACTCTTATTTTCAATCTTCCCAAAAGTGGAGAGATTGGGAGAGAAAAGAAATCCACAAATGTTTATATTTTCATAATACCAATTTTACCCCTATAAAAATAAAAGAAATAAAATGATTGAAAATATAAAAAGGTTATTTTGGTAATATAACATAAAATAATTTCTTTTCTTTTCTCTTAATGAAATCTAACCAAACAAGAAGGAGAGAAATCACAATCATTTCTTTTCTTTTATTTCTTACTTATCCAAACAAAAAGGAGAGAAATTACAATCATTTCTTTTCTTTTCTTTTCTCTTATTACTTAAGTAATCATTTCTTTTCTTTTCTCTCCTAAGTTACCAAACATAGCGTAATAGATTGAGATCTTTCCATTCTAAAGTTGTAATAGAAAATATTTATTTCATTATTTAAGGGCTTGTAATGATTTTTAAATATACTTTTGAAATAAAAAAATTACATCTCAGAAAAAAAAAGAAAAAAAAAGAAAAAGAAAAGCTATTTATAAATTGAAACCATGAAATGTGGGGAACCAAATGTGAAATTAACATTCTTTTGTTGAGGTGTAATTTCTCGTTCAAAAAATACAACTGATTCTAATAATAAATATTGACTGCATCAGGCATGAAGGCTACTTTGCACATTTATGGCTGGTTTGACAATAGATCCAAGTCTACTAGCCTCATTGAATTGAATCTAGTTAATGTTAAAAATGGGTTCCCAAAACCTTGGTGTGTTTGTGGTGATTTTAATGAAATTAGGTATTTATCTGAGAGAAGAGGAGTATTTGGGAGGGATAATGGAATTAGATGATTTGCCAATGATAGGGAGAAGTTTTACCTGGTGTAATTCACTTGAAGGGGAGAGGTGGAGTAGGTTTGACAGGTTTTTAGTTGATCCGAGGTGGTTGGAGAAGTTTAAGTTAAAAGTGTGGGGTTTGCCTAGGGATGTATTAGATCATTGCCCCATAATACAAGGGAGGATGATAGGAATTGGGGGCCAAGACCATTTAGATTTTTGAATGCTTGGACCTTACATCCTAGTTTCCTGAAAGTAGTGCAGAAATCATGGTCAGATTCACAAGTTGATGGATGGGCTGGTTATAGATTTGTATGGAAATTAACATGTCTAAAGAATGATCTAAAAAAATGGAATCAGGAAGTGTTTGGAAATGTGGATTGCCAGCTCATGAAAGCAAAGGATGAATTACACGATTTGGACTTGATGGCTGAATCAAGAGCACTGCTACCACAAGAGGTGTCAAGGAGAAGGGAGGTCAAAAGTCTAGTATGGAAATTAAGGAGGAGAAAGGAGTGGATATGGCTGCAGAAGTCAATATTAGATGGGACATTAAATGAGGATAAAAACACAAGGTTTTTCCTCTTAAGTGCTAACAGGAGATTCACCAAAAATCTAGTAGATTCAGTGGAGGTTAATGGGGTTAGAGTTGAGGTGAGGAGCCTGATCAAGTGAAAGAGGAAGTGCTAAGGCATTTTTCTATGCTATTCAAAGAAGAGTGGGTATCAAGGCTAAAGCTTGCTGGTTCTATGTTAACAGTGAGTAGATCAAAGGTTGTGGAGACACTTGAAGTTGAATTTTCTGACATGGAAGTTTGGGAAGCAGTAAAGGATTGTAATGGAAACAAAACTCTTGGACCTGATGGTTTTAACTTGTCTTGTATCCAGAAGTGTTGGAAATATATGAAGGGTGAGGTGATTCAATTTATGAAGGAGTTTCATTCTAATGGAAAGTTAATAAAAGGTTTGAATTGCTCATTCATAACCTTGATCCCTAAAAAAGATAGTCCCAAAGGATTGAGTGATTATAGACCTATTAGCTTGGTTAGTTCAGCTTATAAAATTTTGGCTAAAGTACTTTCAAGAAGAATTAGAAAGGTTCTACCAGATGTTATTGGTGAGGTACAATCAACATTTCTGGGTGGTAGAAACATTTTTGATGGGATGTTAATTGCAAATGAGGTAGTTGATTGGTGGAAGAAGACAAAGAAGAAAGGAGTCATTTTGAAAGTTGATTTTGAAAAGGCTTATGACTCAGTGAACTGGAATTATCTGTTTTCTATGATGTCTAATATGGGGTTAGGAGATAAATGGAAAAATCGGATGATATCTTGTGTAACCAAAGCCAGAATTTCTGTGTTAGTAAATGGGTCTCCTACAGAAGAGTTTTCTCCTCAGAAAAGGATTAGGCAAGGTGATCTAATCTCACCTTTCTTATTTATCATAGCAGTTGAAGGTCTCAATATTCTGTTAGAAAGGGCAAAGGAGTTAGGACTATTGAAAGGTGCATCAGTAGGGCTAGCTGAGTTAAAGTTGTCACATCTTTAGTTTGCAGACGACACTATAATATTTTGTGAAGCTGAGGAGGAGGAAATTTTAGTCATCAAGAGGACACTTAGGTGTTTTGAAGTTATATCAGGGCTCAAGGTTAATTTTCACAAATGTGTTGTGTGTAGTGTGGGTGTGGATGATGAGAACATTCAGGAGTTTGCCTCTATTCTGAATTGCACAAATTAGAAGCTTCCCATTAAATATCTAAGATTTCCTCTTGGTGCTAGTCCTCGAAGTAGAAAGATTTGGCAACATGTGGTTGATAAGATTAGGTGTAAGTTGGCATCTTGGAAGAGAAAATTTCTGTCATTTGCTGGTAGGTTGACATTGATAAAGTCAGTAGTGTCTAATTTACCTTGCTATTGCCTGTCTTTGTTTGTAATTCCTAAAGGTGTGGCCAAGGTGATTGATAGGATTCAGGCATCTTTTCTTTGGGCGGGCTCCGATCTAAAGAGAAAGATGCATATCGTTAAATGGGGGGAAGTGACAAAACCAAAAAAGCAAGGAGGGTTAGGTGGTAGGAGGATTAGGGAGATGAATGAGGCTCTGCTATTGAAATGGTGGTGGAGGTATGGGGTGGATGAAAATGCTCTGTGGAAACAAGTGTTGGTTAGCAAGTATGGTTCTCAAGGGGATAGATGGCTGCCTGACTTGATCACTGCAGATGAAGGGAAGGTTTCCAGGATTTGGAGTGACATTTTGCATGTAGTAAGATCTAACTATCCACTGTATGACTTTTGTGAAAGCAATATAAGGATAGAGATTGGTGATGGTTGTAGAATTCAGTTTTGGAATGACAAGTGGCACATGAATATTCTAATTAAAGAGAAATTTCCTAGGTTGTTTAGCCTATCCATGGATAAGGAAGGATCTCTGAAGCAGTTTGCTCAAAGAAGACAGAGTTCTGGGGAGTGGGTGTTCAACTTTAGAAGACCCTTTTTAGCTTGGGAAGAGGAGAAAGTTATTAGATTACAAGGGATGCTGTCAAATGCATCATATCATAGTTCAAATAGCCATGATACATTGATCTGGGTGGCTGCCTCTTTAGGTCTTTTTTTTTTTTGTGGCGTCAGTCAAAACTTGGTGTGAAGCTAGGTGTGGGTATAGGTTGAAAGTACCTGAGTGGTTGTGGCGAAATGTAGCTCCACCAAAGGTACAATTTTTTGGGTGGTTAGCTTGGAAAGACAGGGTTAAAACAGCAGGGTTCTTGCACAACATTAGGGTCATTAGAAGTAGTAAAGAATCTATTTGCCCCTTTTGCAAAGCTAAGGTTGAAACAGGTTCTCATGCGCTTATTCATTACCCAAGAGTATGGAAGGTGTGGTCAAATTTGCTGGATTGGTGGGGAATCAGTTGGGTAACACCTGCAAATGTGGAGGGTCTGATGAATTGGTGGGTGGGGGTTAAGTTTAAAAAGTTGGAATTACAGGTTTGGAAACTGTTACCTTTTGCAATGTTGTGGTCCATTTGGAAGATAAGGAATGAATGTGTATTCAATAGCCTTAATCCAAATTTTGCTGATGTGGAAAAGCTTATAAAGGTTAGAGTGGCAATGTGGGCCAAATCAAGTTTGAAGGGTGTCCATTTTTCAATCCATGATTTGGTCTCAAACATAAGGGAGGTCAGAGTATGCATAGGTGGAGGTTGAGATGGTCTTGAGCTTTGGAGTGATCTTTGCTGTTAAAGAAGGGTGTGTTGTAGGTTTTGTTCTGTTGTGGTCCTTTGTTTGATGCCCTGTTGCTGGTTGGGCTCGGAGCTCTCTCTGCTTGTCTACTGCTGTTGCCACTTGCTGCTGATTGTTGGTAGTGCTGCTGTTGCTGCTGCTTTTTGGTATTGTAAAGTGCTGTTTTGGGTGTTGATGTTAGTATTTTGGTGCTGATTTTGGTGTTGTTTGTTATGTTTATTGCGGGTTTTTTTCTTGGCTTTGATTGGTAGCTTACCAACTCTTGATGATGTGCTAGCAAGGGATTGGGTGGGTATATTGGTGCCAACCTAGTTAGGATTGATATGTTTTGCTATGATACTTTTTGCGCTCATCTCTTTTCTTTCTTGATGTAATGATTTCTTGTTCATCAATAAAGGTTTTATTTTTCTGATCAAAAAGAAAAAAATATATATATATATATATATATATATATGATTGATTGATGAGTAGATCTAAAAAGACAAAAAATACACTTACTTAGGACATCCCAAACAATTCCTAAAAATAGAATTATGCTAGAGACCCCAAATAATTTACCAAATTTTCTATCAAACCTCTGATAGAAAATTTGGTAAATTATTTGGAATCCATAACATTTTTCTATAATTTTTGGGCATGAATGGCACTACTCAATGCCTTTTGTCAACTTTTTTTATTGATTTTTTTTTTTTTGTTTTTAATGAATTTTCTTTTTTCTTTTTTTTTTTTTAAAAAAAAAAGGTTTAATTTTTATTTCTTCCTAAACTAGAAGAGCATAAAAATTAAATAAAGATTTGAAAAAATTCCACTAAAGACAAAATTGTAAAAAAATATAAATATATATTTTAGTCCTTTGTGATATATATATATATATTTTTTTTGGGGGGAGATTTTTGAAAATTTTTAGATCATTCAAATCAAACTAGAAAAAGACCTGAGAAGAATGTTTTTTAAAAAATTACTAAAGACAAAATTTCCAAAAATTAAAACGAGACATTTTCTTAGCTTTTGCTAAATAGAGAATATTTTTGAGGAGAAAATTGACATGGTAAAATTTGGGTACTGAAATGACACACAATGCAACCGTTAGACACCAAAAATGCAATTAATCATAGGAGAAACATACCCATATGTATTCACATTTTGCACATACCTAAGAAAATCAGTTGAAATAGGTCCATAAGGTCCTTCAATGGACATGCGAAGATGATCCACCGGAGATGGTGAAGAAAGCATCTGATAGAGCTTCTCACTCCAACTTCCTTCATTTTTTATGATGATGCTTAGCTCGTCCGGTTCGAGATTACTACTTGAGCTAATGGTGAAAGGGTGCCATTGTAGTCTTGAAATGGAGGGCACATTTATGAAGATGATGCTTGTTGGAGTGTAACTCAAAGCTGCACAAGATCAAAGTAAATAAAATCCTACTAAAGAAGTGCTTCAAATTATCGGAATCTATTTTTGAATTTTTTCTAAGAATAAACTGGCAAAAAAATAAAATAAAATGAAAATAAACAAAACTCATCGTTTGAATACCTTTTTTTCCTCTTTTTTGAGGAAAAATAATATTAGTTTCTATTTTTTCATAAATAAAAAAAAAATCAAAAATAGATTTTGAAAACAAAACCAAAGTAAGGATTTTTAAATTTTAATTTTTTTCTCTAGAAATTGCATTGATTGCAGTAAAGTCAATACTTGCATTCATCCTGGTGGATTATAAACTAGTAGTGTAATTAGAATTTTCAATCATTTAGTGGAGTAGATTTTAGTTTTACAAAATGGATTAAAATTTTGACATAATGCACTATAATATTATATATTTCCTTTGACATGGACATAAGTAATTCAAATTTATCAAATTGTATGTAAAAATAAAACACAGAAACATAATACTATAGAGAAAGATAGTTCAATTGTGCGCTAAGCAAACATTAAAACTGACCCAATGAGGGTCAAGATGGGTCCACCCATGGCAGTGCACAAAATGTTGGCCAGCAGCCTCAACGCCCTAGGCCAAGGTTAAGAGCTTAAGACAAGTTTATAAAAATTGTCCATATGTCATGTCTATGTATAAAAAGAATTGACATTTTAAAGGATTTTTTTTTTAAAGGTTAAATTGTCCAAAATAATTATGAAAAATAGTAAGTGAAAACAATGTCACCATATGGCAGTAGACAATGTTGTCTACTAGTGCTATCACTTGGGGGCCATTTGGGAAGCAAATAAAAAGTCAAAAATCAGTTTTTAACCCATTTTAAGTCATATTAACTCTCATATTTTTTACACAAAAAAGATAAAAAAAAAGTCAAAAAATTAACTTTTAACCATTTTCCAAAAAAACGTCCACTCCCAAGGCCAAAATTAAGAACTTAAGTCAAGTCAACCAAAATTATCCATGTTATGTCTATATACAAAAATAATTGACATTTTAAAGCTCTTTTTTAGTTCAAATTGTCCAAAACAATCATAAGAAAAGAGAAGTGAAAACAAAACCAGGAGGCACAATCATTGACCATTAGATTCATTTTGTAAAGCTCCTAGTACCATTATATTATAATTTTCCTTCCTTCAAATTTTAATGGTGTAGTCATCTAACTTCACTCACATACATGTAGCCCCGCCCTTGTTATATACTTCATCTAGGATGAATTCAATATTTTTAGAATTGCACTTTATGTACGGTAATAACGTATCTACTAATATGCATATCAATGATCATAGAAAGAACTCGGGCATCAAATTAAGTATAGTTTATAGCTTTACCTCGACTCTTGGAATAGTTGAGCTCCACAGTTTCACACGACATGACACGAGCAGAAACTAAATGAATGCCTTGTCGTGATTGTAAGAACCTCAAGAACCGATCGACCATGAAGAGATAGAAACCGGGAAGAATGGTGTAGGAATAAGAGAAGCCGAGATGGAAAATGTAGAAAATCATGAAGAGAATGTACAAGTGATGAGTGTAAAAGAAGAGTTCAAACATTTTTTGCCTTATCCGAGGGTAGGTTGTTACCCACAAGAACAAACCAAATAGCAAAGATAGTTCTCCAGCTACATTTGATACCCTGATGGTACTCCACTTGAGCACCTGCATTGCATCAAGAAAAGAAAAGAAAAGAATTTAATTTTCAATACAAGATTAAGTTTGTTCTAAGATGAAATTTGAAAATTACAAAGATGAATAGGACAACTTTGAGAGGACTTGAATTCTCTTCATTTTTTTTTTCCTGCAATAATCTTGTTATGATTTTCTGTTGCAAATAATATAATACAATGATTAATTTTTTAAATTTTGAACTATAAAGTAGTGTATGAGACTCATTAAAAGGCGGGCTCACTTACCTTCAAAAAAAAAAAAAAAAAAAAAAAAAAAAAAAAAAAAAACCTTATACCTAAAAAGAACTAAAAAGAAAGTTGGGCCCAATTCATGGTATGCAATTCAAGGTTTTTTAATGTTATGTGTCACTCACCCAACCAACTGGGTCCTAATATTCTATTTCAAAATTCAAAGTTTATGCCAATATGTTTGGATGACATGGATTTTGAGAGAAATTTAAATATAATTTTAATCTTAATAAATTCACTATTTCGATATAGTTGAATTGAGAATGTGATTTTTGATTTCTGAAGTCAGCTTAATTCAATTTTTTAGATTAACAAAAATCTAAAAAATATATTTTTTGTTGAATAAAATTCTTGAATTATTCAAATATAAGAATGAAATTACGTGCAAATCGTATTATTGAGAATGAGATTTCTCAGAATGTGATACTCATTTTTGGTTTCAAACATAGATAATGCTATACAAAATAAATATTTTTCTAAAAATTTCATATATAATAGTGTGACATATATGAGCTATGATTTTTTTTTTATAGAAGTTATGTTTGTGTAATATTATCCTAGATCGTAACCAGATCCTCACCATTTAATTTACAGTAATGTTGTTGCGTTCATAAATAAATAAATAAGTAGCCAGAAAAATGTATGAATAAATAATATATTAGTCATTCTTTTAATTTATGATGAAAGTCCTCCTTTCACAGGGGGACGGACCAAAATGATTCCGAAAATTATGCATGATCAAAAGGTGTGGAAAAGTCAAAATACGACAAACAAACACAACTTTCAAACTTTTGCTTCTTTTTGCCCAAAAAACAAAACTAACACATTGCCAAAATCAAAACGACAAACTAACCTCCACAGTAGTGCTACAACCAAAGTAGATGGCAAAGGAGATATGGCCACTTTATTGAGGATGATCCACAATCGTTCATTTTATGTGCTTTTTGCTCAATTCTTTTTGTGGTTCTATAAGGTTGAGTTCGGATTAGGGATGGCTATTTTAATTCGATAGGCGGGAGTTTGCCTATACTTGTTTGAATAGGATAAATTTTATCTAATTCGACATTTATATGGTGCGGGAGTAAATTTTATTTTGATCAGCCGCAAAGGGGGTAAGGCGAGATAGGATAGGTATCGTCTTTCCTGATCTAAATCTGACTCGGTATAATTAATAATATATATAAATAAATAATATGTGTATATATATAATATAATTAAATATAAAAAAGAAATATTAAAAGTATGTGATTCTGTTTAAATATAAATAAATAATAATTCTAAAAGTTTCACTGCTTATATATATGAAAATAAGAAAAATTATTTAGTATGTTAAGAATGTTAAAAATTTAAATGATTTTTAATTTTTTTTTTAACTATTTGAAATGTGGTGGGGATATCCACAAAGGTGAGGATGAGGTTAAAAAATTTCACTTATAGTGAGATTGGAGCAGGAGTGGGGGCAGGGGTGGTGTTTGAAAGCGGTGGCAAAGGCAGAGATAGAGGCGGAGAATGACAAATTCGTCCCAAACCCATCCATGACCATCCCTAATTCAAATCAATAATTTGGATAAAAATTTATAAAAAGAACAAAATATAAAAGAAAAGAGTGAATGAAAAGAAAGTTAAATGTTTGTGACATTTTCTCGCCCTTTTCCTATCTCAAGAAATTTCTCGTCAAATCCAAACACAGCCCAAGTAAGACCGAACAACCTCAAATTCTAGGAAGGTGCCTAACAAAGGTTCAATAAGTGAAGCGTAAGAATTTAGGACCGTTCATGATGGAGATTTCTGTGAAACAAAAGTGTGGGCTCTGTTTGTTTGTTTGTGACCTAACCTAGGGTCTGAAGCCAATATTTCGAGGTCACTTCAGTTGATGGAATGAGAGTAATAATATACAAATAAGAATACGTAATATAAATTTTGTATAAATAATAATAAAATAAAAAAAACATTGAATAGATGGTAATATAATGTCATCATGTTGTCATTGTATCACTATTTGAGTACCCTATTCATGTTAAAGATTGTAATTATTAGTAACAAATTATTTTAAATATATACACAACAGAAATTTTTTATAAAATTTATGTTCACAATGATTTGTCTTAATAAAAATTTATTATTTTAAAACAAAATATTTATTAAAATAATATTTAATTATATAAATGCCACCATCCACCGTCAAATCATCCGAATGAGGATCACGAGATTAAAGGGTTGTTTGAGATGTTCTAAATAAGGTGTCGTTTGGGAAGTGGGTTGATTTTTAAAATTTTTGATTTTTTTGGCTATTTTAGCCTTGACTGAAAAGCTTGGTTTGGGAATGACTTTTTGACTTTTTTTGTGAGAAAATAGTATAATGATTATGGGTTAGATGTGATATTTTGTTTGTTGTGGTTAAAAAGCTTATTTTGTCTTTTGTGACTAAAATAGCCAAAACCATCTTTCCAAACGGGACCTAAGTGTACTTTTTGACTTTTTTTGTGAGAAAATAGTGTAATGATTATGGGTTAGATGTGATATTTTGGCCTAGTTTGGCTACTCCCAAAAAAGTGCACTTATTTCATCTTTTTATCTTTTCTGGGTCATATCAATCAATATCTCCTCTCTACTTTTTCTACACATAATACAAAAAAAGTCAAAAAGTACACTTATTTAGTCTTCCCAAACTAGGCCTTTGTTTATTATGGCTAAAAAATCTATTTTGTCTTTTGTGGCTAAAATAGCCAAAACCATCTTCCCAAACGGGACCTAAGTGTACTTTTTATAAAATATGAGTTGGGCTTGAAGTGATGTGGTAGAGAAATGATGTGACTTAAATAGACTTTTTGACTTTTTTTGTGAGAAAATAGTATAATGATTATGGGTTAGATGTGATATTTTGTTTGTTGTGGTTAAAAAGCTTATTTTGTCTTTTGTGACTAAAATAGCCAAAACCATCTTTCCAAACGGGACCTAAGTGTACTTTTTATGAAATATGAGTTGGGCTTGAAATGATGTGGTAGAGAAATGATGTGACTTAAATAAAATGATATGACTTAAATAGGATAGTGACTTTTTGACTTTTTAACATTTTTAAGAAATGCTAAACGAGGCCTAAATTTGATACGTAATTTCATATTTATTATATAAAAAAAATTTAATATGTTTTAGGACACAAAATTAACTAAATTTTGAAAATATCCACTTTTTAAAATATATATTTATTCTGTGAAAACAGTTTTAAAAAATCCAAAACAATTTTTTAGTTTGTTAAAAAGTAAGTTGTTTTTAAAACAATTTTTGAAAACCATTCGTCAAACAAAATTTTCTATGTTCTCCAAACAAATAAAAAAAAGGACGAAAACACCACATAATTTGTTTTATTGTACTTGTGACTTGCTAATAATGATGATATAATTATGAATAAAAGAAAAATGGTTAAGTATTACCTCTGAAAACTTGTTGGCAACAACCCAATAGATGATGTAGACGACACCATGAGAGGTGAAGAGGACCATGGTAATGTGTCCAAGCCAAATATGATACTTGATGCTAGCCTCTGGGGAGAGTCCAAAAATAGGCAATAATGATGAGCCACGTGTCACTGGGAAGAATAGAAATGCTAGGCATATGTTCCCAACCAGGCCTAGTGTTAGACCAACTCTTTCCAATTTAACCTCCCATCTGCCAAAACCACCATTTCTCTAACATGATATATTAGAAAAAAAAAAAAATACAAAACACGAAATACAAAACAAAATTGATATATAAACAGGAAAATTGTACAGAATTATTACGTCATTCTAAAACCAAATTATGTCTAAAAATTTTGATGTTTTTATATTTTCCTATAAGAAAGGGGTATTGCCTTCCCCTCTTTTTTCTTGAATCAATAATATTAGGTTAAATATGTTCAATTTCATAAATCTAAAACCCCAAACTTCCACTTACATTCCCATTTCAACATGACAAGTTTGAAACTAGAGAGATTAGAGTAGAATTCAAAAGAAATATGAAAATTATATGTTCGTGAAATTTATTTGTTTTTCTTTCTTTGTTAAGAATTCTTAAAATTTTCGCATGATCTTTTTTGGTTCAAAATAGTAATGATAATTGACGGAAATGCAATTGAAATACATTCACGAAATTGAAACAAATAGGCATCCAAGTGAAATATCGTTGAAACTAAAGAGACAAATTATATAAGTTACTCATAACAAGTGTGTAGAAAAGTGTATTAAAAAATTTAATATGCAATTAAAAAAAATTATAATAAATCTGAATCACACATTAATTTTTTTATTTTTTTTAACATAAGATTATTATTGATTTTTGGAAAGGTGATCCTTACATTTTATCGCCCTTTTGCATTACTTGCCGTCTGACATCGGAGAAGAAGATGTGCAAGTAAGCAGAGAAAGACCAAACCAAGAGTGCAATGAACATCACAAGCATGGCTAGCTCTATCCCACAAACAATCCCTAGCCCTTTGATGATCATTGGTCTTTTCCACGAACCAAGTTTATGTGTTTTCCCATTGCACCTACATAGACAAACCAACCATTGAAACATTCATCAAGTTACTTTTCTCAAATTAGTGATAAATTCAAAACAATAAATAGGGTAGATTATATATATGATTCATGTAAGTTGTTTCTTGTGTCAATTTTTATTTTCATAATTTTAATTGTATTAATTTTGTCATTTAATTTTTCAGATTATGTTAATTTAATAGTCCATTCGATTACATTAATTCAATCGATTATATCTATTAAAAAATTAGACAGAATTTAAAAGCAAATGATTCATTTAAAAGGAAGTGGACAATTTTCAAATCGGATGTCAACCACCAACCATTTTGATGAGTAAATGGACTAGTTTGCCCCCATGATTATATCCAAATTTTAAGATGACCTTATCAATTATATTAAACTGATACACAATATGAAAATTTTAAGGATAAAATTGATGTATTTAAAACTACATGCATCAAATTGATACTAACGACCAATTATAGAGATTACGAGTGTAATTTAACCTAGGTTTTTGTTAACATATCCTTTGAGGGCATATGTTAAATAAGCATTAAGGGATTGTTTGGGGTATTCTAAATAAGTGTACTTTTTGTCATTTTAGACTAAAAGATTAAGAAAAAAAATATGGATGTTTGGGTTAACTTTTTGACTTTTTATGAAAAAATGTGTATTAAAAAATTGTATAAATTAGTGTGTAGAGAAAAATTAAGATTGAGAATTGTGCAGCCGTAATTTTTGACTTTTGGTGAATAGTGATAGCTTTTTAACTTTTTTGGTAACTTTTTGACTTTTTAACTTTTTTATAAGTTGCCAAACTTGGCCTAAATAGGTACAATTATCTTTACTTATATAGAAACTAATACAAACTTAAAAACTGTCTAAATTGAATAATATTTTTATAAGACCAAATTACCTTGTTTCTTTCCCTCCATTTTAGCCTTTCATCTTTTTTTTTCTTCTTCTTCTTTTTCTTTGTTTTGTACATTTTCACCCTCCTTATTTTTATATGATTTTTTTATTGGTAACAATTTTTTTGATAATTTGAAAACATATATATATATATATATTGTCAAATTAATTTTTATTTTTTCAAAATAAATTTTTAAAATTCAACCAAACAAAAATAATTTCCAATTAATTTTTTTTTCTAATTAGAATTAACTTGTTATAAAAAGAATGAGATAGAGTACAACAAATAAAATTAAAAATAAATTAAATTAAAAACAAGAGCAAGTTATATTAAACCTCCTTAAACTATCGACCATTTACATTTTACCCTCCTAATGTTTTAAATCTAACAATTACTCCCCTCAAACTATTTGAATTTGAACATTAAGGGTGTGTTTGTTTGGACGGATTGAATAACGGGGGATTGGAATCCATCGGACTGTTAGTTCTGGGATACATTATCTCCGAATTATTTGGTTGGACTGAATTTATGTCCCATGTTTGTTTAGTCATGGGATTAAATGTTAGGAAATGACTATTTGATTGGATAGGATATGAATCCTATGTTTGTTTAGGATATTATAGAGAATGATAAATGTTTAAATGACTGTTTTACCCTTTTCAATTATTGACTAAGTAATAGCAATGTTAAACATATCTTTAATATTTTGATTATTTTTAACTAGATTAAATAAAAGTTTATTTTATTTTATTTTTTACACAATTAAATAAATTTATTTTTAAAAAAAAAATTAAATTATCAATAAAAAAATATGTTATTTTTTAATTAAAATTTTAAATAAATTTATTTTAAAAATAATAATAATTAAATAATGAAATTAAATAAAACATCTATTAAAATTTAAATAATAAAATCAAATAAAATATAAACAAAATTTTAAAATAAAACATCAATAAAATAAAAAATTATTTTAAAAAATTAAAAAAATAAAATTATTTTATTTTCAAATTGAGGCATTTAAATTTTAATAAATTTTACTAAATATAATACATCATCAAATAGTAGAGAGTCAAAATGACCATTTCATCACCTAATCTCATATCCCCTTTACCCCTCCATTTGTGTCTCACCCCTTTAGGACACAATAGTTCAATGGATTTGGAACTAATAGTCCGGTGCAAAAATTTTGAACGAAACAACGGACTATTAGTGCGGATGAACTAATAATCCAATCCAAACCCCTCAATCCCTCAAAACAAACACCATCTAAGTCTTTCTGCTAGTTATCTATCAAATATTTGAATGAAAAATTGTCAAGTATTGTGTACATAATGATTATATTAAATTTTTACAAAAGATAAAATAGGATAATTTGGTCATAAAATTTAATATAATCGTTATGTATATAACACTTGACAATTTTTCATCTAAATATCTAGTAGAAAAATTTAATGTTCAAATTTAAATAATTTAAGAGTAGTAATTGTTAGGTTTAAAATATTAAGTAAGTAAAATATAAATGATTGATAGTTTGAAAGAGTTTAATATAATTTGTCCAAACCTTTATGGTCAAAGTTGGCAGAGCCCTCACGTGATTATTTATTTATTTTTATTTTTTTAACACTACATTGTAATAGTTAAATAATTTTATTATCAAATTCCTACCTACCTCAAAATGGGATAATTTTGTCCATATAAAATAAATATATCACATTTATTAGCTTCTTAAAAAATACTAAAATTATTTATACTTTGAGGAGTACTATATGTCCTAATTTTTCTTCTACTTTTGTTCAATATTTCCATACAAGTGAAGGTAATTAATGCCAATTATTTACTTATTTGGGCGTATGTTAATAAAGAGTAATTTTCATATACGATAAGATATATCCATGTGGTACTTTCTATTAGTGGAAGGTAGTGGAATATGAGAAATATTATTGAATGTTAGAGGAACAATAAAAAGTATATATATTTGTAATTGATAAAAAGAAAATCGCAAGTAATCTTCATACCTTTCTGTGCTATTGTTACTCACTTGCTTTCCCAAATGGAGATATACACAACTCATAACAGCAATGAATAGAACAGGGAATGTGTAAACCAGAATTGTTGGACCTATAGATCAAAACTTTGTGTGTAAATGGTATAAAATTTCTAGAACAAGAAATTTTTAATGATGACAGCCAATTTAGATATTCAACCCAAATAAGTATTTCAAAACACAATTTCAATGAACTTATTTTGAATTTGTGTTTTCAAAACACACCATTTTGAAGTACAATTTCAAAAATCAATTGTTGCATCTAAAAAAATAAGTTTTGAAATAGAGTTCTTCAAAAGATTTTTTAATAAAATTATAACTTAAACTATCGAGTACTCACAATATTATTATTATTATTTTATTTTTTTTGTAAGTTTTAATAATTATTTGGTAATTAAAAAAAAAATACATACATTGCCATGGAAGCAAAAGCTTGTGAATGGAAATGAATGATGAAATAATGTTTGAAGTGACGAACAGAGCACAGATATAAGATGAAATCAAACCTTGGAAACCAAAGTAAGTTGAATTGGTGTTAACAAGAATCTTCCCAAACCATGTCTTGTACATGTGAGTCGATGTCATTACCCACATAATAAGATATCCAACAGAGACTGCCATTATTAACATCATTATAGCTTCCCTCATGATGATTTTTACTCTTCTTCCATGTTCAAGTGAAGGGGCTGATCTCTTCATCACCATGGACTCCATCCTCTCTCTCTCTCTCTCTCTCTCTCTCTCTAGAAGTTTAGCTACTGAGGAAAAAGACTGGAGGGAGAAAGTCTTACAACTTACAAGGGTATGTAAACAGCAATTGTGGTCTATAAAGACGGAATTAAGAGAAGATCATGGGTAATGATCCTCTATTTCTGTAGAAATTATTATTTATCATATAATGGGGCTGATCTCTTCACCACCATGGACTCCATCCTCTCTCTCTCTCTCTCTCTCTCTCTCTCTAGAAGTTTAGCTACTGAGGAAAAAGACTGGAGGGAGAAAGTCTTACAACTTACAAGGGTATGGAAACAGCAATTGTGGTCTATAAAGGCGGAATTAAGAGAAGATCATGGGTAATGATCCTCTATTTCTGTAAAAATTATTCTCTGTGATATAATTTTAAAAATATGTATATTATTTTATATATAAAATAATCCCAATATAAATTATAGTTAAATTTATATATATATTTAAATTTGTATATATATATTTTATGTATATAGTAAAAAAAATTATTTTTCTTTTTACCACTCTAATAATAAAATACTGATTCCGCAATGTGTGTGTATATATATATATATATGTGTGTACAAAGCTTGCTATAGGTGGACAAATGTGTTGCTAGTTAAAAGTTAGACATCTATATCTATATCTATATCTATACAGTATTATATAAGAGGGAGTCGATTATGCTACAGTGTATGTGGGTCTCCTTTTCATTTGCCTGTTTTGCCCCTCTGCTTTGTTGTGGTTTCCTAGCCAGCTCATAGCTCTTGTACAGCAGCCATGTCGCCTTTTGCTACAATTTTTGGTGGGTGTGAGAGAGCCATGTCTTTATATTTTCTCAATCTATTCTCTCATACTCTACTGGAGTTCAGATCCTCTCCTTGAGGATCCTCCTTTAGCTCCTACTTGCAACGGTTTAGATGAGCCGTTGGTCATCCAACGGCTCAGATTAAAAAAAAAAAAAAATCAAAAATGAAATGTTTTCGAGTTCCCGCCAAACAAAACAACAACACAGCTCAAAGATTCACTCTCACTCTCACACAGCACTCTCCTCCGTCGAACCCATCCTCATCCTCACCGATGAACCCATCCTCACCGATGGCAAACTCCATCCTCACCGACGGCGAACCCATCCTCACGCTTCGTGAACTCCACCGCGACGACCACCATCGGTTAAGCAAAGATCTCTTCAACACGAACCAGGTTGGTCTTCGAACAAAGATCTTTTGTCCTCTGTTTTCAATTTTGTTTGAGCAAAATTCCATTGCTCAAGAAGAGCTAACAGTTTCAAACATAGTGAACCCTGTGTAGGATTCCATCTTTTGTCCTCTGTCTTCACGAACCAGGTTGTGGATATACTGAACCCTGTGTAGAATTCAATGTTCTCCAAGATCATATCTGAACCCTCATGTTTTGTTAATTACAAATTAGATCATATCTGAACCCTCATGGAGACATTCTTATTAATCTACCCAAAAAAAAAAAAAATTTCCAAAATTGATAGCCTGATTCCTAGAGAGAGAATTTTATATATGAAGACTGGTCCCGTAATATTTGATAATTTTCCCTTGTATGGTATGCATTAGAATATTTGAGGTACAGTGAGTGAATATAAAGATTCTTTAGGATGAAAGTTAGGTCTGATTTCCAACATTACAGTGATTGAATATAAAGATTCTTTAGGATTGAATATAAAGATTATTTGAGGTACAATGAAAGCTAGGTCTGATTTCCAACATTACAGCATATTTAGACTATATTGTCACTGATTGTAAACAGTGGTGGAAAAATATATTTTAATATATATGACAGAGTTCCAACATATACATGTAGAAGTGGAATTTTTTAAAACTGAACTTAGTCTCTTTATGTTTTTATGTATGGTTTTTTTTTTTTTTCAAACTGAAATTATGTTTTTTTTTATATGGGTTTTCAGTTGCATTTTGATATCGATATGGAACCTGAGAATGATTGTGATTGGAAGCCAAAACAGGGAATGACATTTGATTCTGAGCAATGTGCGTATGATTTTTATAATACATATGGAGGAAGAATGGGGTTTAGCATAAGAAGGGATTATTGTAGGAAGGAAAAGTTCACTAATCAACTTATTTGTAGACTTTTGGTTTGCAACAAGGAGGGATTTCGAAAGATTGACAAGCGAGACCCATTGTCAAAAACCCTAGAGCTGAAACTAGAACTGGTTGTGAGGCTCGACTTTATATTAAATTAGATGAGGGTACTGGGAAATTTGTTGTTACTGATTTCAGAGAAAAACACAACCATGATCTTGTATCACCCGAGTGTGCCCACGTGTTGCCGTCACAAAGAAAGATATCGACTACCCAAGCAATTCAGTTAGATTTGGCGGCACAATCTGGTCTTCGTTTAGGCCAGTCTTTTGAACTCATGGGTAGGGAAGCTAGTGGAAGGCAATGTCTTGGGTTTACTAAATTAGATTCTAAAAATTATTTGAGAACCAAAAGACAACAAAGTTTAGCATATGGGGAAGTAGGCAATGTGTTGCAATACTTTAAAGAAAAATCTTTGCAGAATCCTTCATTCTTTTATGCTTTTCAATTAGATAATGAGGAGCAAATAACCAATATGTTTTGGGCCGATGCACAAATGATCATGGATTATGCCCAATTTGGTGATGTTGTCACATTTGATACGACTTACAAGTTAAACAAAGAACATAGACCCTTCGCATCTTTTGTGGGATTCAACCATCATAGGGAAACAGTGATATTTGGTGCAGCATTGTTGTATGATGAGACCGCCGAATCGTTTGTATGATTGTTTGAAAATTTTCTAGAGGCTATGTCAAGAAAGGCACCAAAAACTTTGTTCACCGATCAAGATGCTGCAATGGCTAAAGCCATACCCATCGTTATGCCTGACACAAGTCACCGATTGTGTACTTGGCATTTGATGCAAAATGCATTAAAACATGTTAACTGTTTGTTCCAAGATAAGGGGGTGAAGGGTGTACTAAATAAATTCTTCTTTCACATTGAAGATGCAAATCAATAGAAGTTAGAGTGGGCGGAAATGCTTGATAAATATGATGCACATGAAAACCATTGGTTGAAATTGACTTTTGCGGTGAAAGAAAAATGGGGCTGGCCTTACGTTAGATCAACATGGGCTGCGGGAATGAGTATCACTCAACTTAGTGAATCTTTTAATGCTTTTTTGAAGGATTACATTCGTTCTGATTTTAACTTAAATGAATTCTTCATGCATTTCGAAATGGTACTTTACGAAAAGCGATACAAGTAGTTAGAAGCAGGATATGCTTTGTGCCAAAGGTTGCCAAAGGTGAAAGCAACAATAAGAATGTTAATTCAAATGGGTAATGTCTACACAAAAAATATCTTTGAGGAATTCCAAAATTAGTACTTTCAATCCATTGAATCGGACATAGAAGCAATTGAATATGGGGAGGCTAGTACCATTTACACAGTTGTTGATGTTGGTAACAAATATGCAAGGAAAGTGACAATGGAGAGGGATGACTCTTTGGGTTGTAATTGTACAAAGTTTGAAAGGAAAGGAATCTTGTGTTGTCACTCATTAAAGGTTATTAGAGACATATTGAAGATGAAAGAGGTTCCTCCACAATATATTCTGAAGAGGTGGACCAAACAAGCAAGAGCCGAAATTGTGAAGGACATTAAGGAGAATGACATTGAAGTAGATGTGAAATTCCAACAAGCATCGCGATATAAGACATTGATGACAGCAGTTAGAGCACTAGCAAGTAGAGCTGCTGAAATTGAAGAAACCTTTGATTTTTGTATTGCACAACTTGCTACATTAGGTGCAAATGTTGAACGCAAGTTAAGTGCTCATTTTGATGTTGGAAATGAAGTAGGTAATGATGATGACACCCAAAGCTTTGAAGTGGATTGCGAAGATGTGAATCATGTTGTGCAACCAAAAGGATTGAAGAAAAAGGTGGCAACTAGTAAGGGTAAAAGGAGGGTCAAAGGTGAATTCGAAGCGGCGTTGGTAGCGAACTCAAAAAAAAAATCCCGTGCTAACAGCTTGGCTTTGTCACAATCTATTGCAAATTCAACAATTGCACCTTCTCCATTATCTGTTGGAGGAGATATATATGTTGGTCAACATGTTCCTCCTCTTCAACCTCTTCCTCCCCTTCATCCTCTTCCTCCATCTTTGCCCATGAGTGGTAATTATATTCCTCCGCCATTGATATATCCCACATATCATGTAATTCTTACTTGATAAATTATATTTTTTGTATGGATATAATATGTGACTCAAACCATGACAGAAACCATAATAACGAAGCGTAATATATGACATTGTTGTAGGCGAACAATTTGCGGGAGATGTATGTGGTGCCAAATTATTTGCCAACTTCAATGCTTCAACGGCATTCTGCTCAACCAACATTCCAGTCTCTACTACAAGGTTCATGTGGATATGACATTGGGTTTCGATATTCTCAAGAATCAACTACTCCAATGTGTAGTCAGGTTCATCCTTCATGTATTTTTAATTTATAGTTGTTGAAAATTCTAGGTTTTTAGTTGATGAAAATTCTGTGATATCATGTATTTACTTGCTAAAAATTCTGTCTTTTTTGTTAGGTTATGAACAGGTAGAAACAGAAGCAAACTGATGCTGAAATTGGGCTGGAAAGTGAAGTCATGGCCTCTAAAATTGTGAAACAAACTGCTGCTAGAAAATGATGTAGAGGAATGTGTGTTGAAATGTTAAATTTTATGGACCAGTGTGTCACATTACATGGACCAATGTGTCAATTTTGATGGACCAATGTTTTAATTATATGTTGGTTGATGTTCATTTAACTTGTATTGGTTGATGTTGGTTGATGTTCATTTATGTTTGCTGCTATGGTTCTACAATGATCTTCATTATTTCTACAATGGTTATGGTTCTGCAATGGTTATGAGTTGATATTTTCTTGTGTTACTATGGATATGAAGAAATGGTCAACAAATGTTATGCAAACAAGTATGCAAACAGGTATACCGGTTCTGTACTGAACACATGTATGTTGGTTCTGTATGTGAAGCAAACTGGATTGT